TTTATACCCTTCGGAGTGTTGAAACACCCTCCAAAGGCGCGCCCCTTTGTCAGTCAATATTGGATTCCTTAACAACAAAAACAAGCTATGAAACCGATAATGACCATGCATCAGAACCCTAGTATTAACCACTTCAAACTAGGGAACAACGAATAGAAGATTAGGAATCACATACATAGGTGAATACTAACTAACTCATTTTTTCCTTGTTTCAAGATCATCCTCGGTCCAGGCAACCCGAGGATTTATCACTATCAACAAGGCATAAAAAGTAACAAGGACTAAGATGTGTTCCTTTGATTACTGAAAAAAACCTGTTCCCCTAGTTTGAAGAAGTCAGGACTAGGAATCGGTGGTAGATCTTACATCCCGTAACGTACCACGAAAAGGTGATCTACCCACGTTACGGGGCAAATTCTGTTAGTCGTGCGCACCTTTGCAGGGCAACTAATATTATAAGCCTGATTTATATTGCTTATTAAGCAATTAGCAGCTTTTTCTAGCTTAGAAATTGAATCAAAATCTTGTAAAATAGGCTCATTTTGACTCTGAAGACTGAAGCTGTATAGCTCCCAATTTGTTTTACGAGGATCTACAATGTAACCGTTCACGAATTTTCGTTGAGGTTTTCGTAAAACTCAGTGACTTAAGCGCAACTCTCGATTAGGAGAGACCACTGGTCATCTTCGAATTTTGCCCGATTTATGAGACCTTATCTCAGAGAACCTCTTGAACGGTTTCCGATTACTAAACGCCAAGTCCCGTAGAACCGCAGATATTATCGGAACGAAAGAATTACTCTGACTTACCCAGAATATGAACGAAACGGAAAGAGAAAGAAGGAATTCTTACTCAACTGTGCGGTAATCGAAGGAAAAACTGAACGTAAGATAGCGAGTGTCTTTTATTCCAGGGAAAAAACATACTAAAGCATAAAAAAACTAATCTTCAATTTTCATTAAACACTATTATTGAGTTCGTTTATTCGGGTTGGACTTCTGGATGAGTGTACGGAAAAAGGGCAAATCATGGCCATGAATAAAAACATGCTCTAACATACCTGCGCAGGTTTTTCGACGCGAAGAACGACGGCTCGATGATGGCTGACGGTGGGGACTCGACGACTCGATGATGGCGACGGAAGGCGACCTTCCAGTTAGCGTGGCGATGGTGGCGAGGCGTGATGGCGCCGCACATGAGCTGCAGTATGGCGAGCAGCGATGAAGGTGACCCGTGCGCAGTATGACCGAACTAGAGTTGCGGAGAGAGTGGCGGCTGGACGGAAGGCTTCCGATTTAATACGTCGAGAGCTGAGCATCGACCGTAGTCGTGCTTTCCCGGGAGATTCGCCCCTCAGAGAAAAGAGGGCGAACTTACCGCCGCACGGCTTCGCGTACTAAGCTTCCGCTATGACCGCCCGGGATGGAATGAAACCCACCCTTCTCCTTGGATTGAATCCGGACCGTAGTACGCTCTTGGCTACGCACTCAAACGGCGCTCTCGGAAAGAATGGTCCACAAGGGTTTGTAGCGGAAAAAGGACATCGTCGACGGTTGATTTGCGACCGTCGGAAAAGTTTCGCTCCGTGGAATAGCGAACTTCACTAATCTCCGTTTGGCTACTTTTGAACAGGCGGGCCTTCGCTTGGCGCACGAGTCTGATGGTCCGTTTCACACGGACGACGGAATAGATGCCACTTAACAGGACCCCTTGTCCGGCCTTGCGATAGCCGAACTGAAGATAAATATCCAGCCCGTACAAAAAAAGCGCAAAGCGCTTTTTTGTACAAAATTCACTGAAACAAAACGAACAGACTACGCGGAATTTAAAACTACCTTAGCTACAATTTTAAGGCAATTCTAAATGCACAAACGACTTTTAACGAGAGCTTAATTCGCGCACTTCTGTTCACCAGCCGAGCCGAGAAGCAGTGTTAAACTTTTGACAATATCTCAACGATTGGTTTCTCTTTATCAAATCATAAGGTATATACGGAAAGGTAAATAAACTTGAAAGCCATCAATAATAATAAAACTCCGTTTGGTGCTAAACTGCGCTAGATTAAGAAAGAGTAAGTGCAGGTTGTGATTAATAGGCCGGAAATTGGGTAGTTAACCCTATTCGATTTTTGGACAGTTGTCATTATCGCATTTATCGCAATGATCCGACTCTAATTGAAAGGTCCCGCTCTTTTTACCCTTCGGAGTGTTGAAACACCCTCCAAAGGCGTGCCCCTTTGTCAGTCAAAATTGGATTTCTTAGCAACAACATTAAGGAATGACACCGATAATGACCATGCATCAGAACCCTAGTCTTAACCACTTCAAACTAGGGAACAATGAATTGAAGATTAGGAGTCACATAGATGAAGACTAACTAACTCATTTTTTTCTTGTTTCAAGATCATCCTCGGTGGACAAAGCCGAATCTTGTCACTATCAACAAGGCATAAAAAGTAACAAGGACTAAGATGTGTTTCTTGGATTACTGAAAAATCATGTTCCCCTAGTTTGAAGTAGTCAGGACTAGGAATCGGTGGTAGATCTTACATCCCGTAACGTACCACGAAAAGGTGATCTACCCACGTTACGGGGCATAAGAGAAGGAGTTTAACGAGGAAAACTTAAAAGAGGAGGAGCTTTAGCTGGGACACTGATATTCTGCGGCCTTCCAACCTGTCGCGGACACCAGTTCAACCCCTTTCCAGCAGCAGACGGGCCGAGAATCTTACGAGTGCCCAATCATTGGGCCGAAGAATATGGGGCCTGTACTACCATCGGTTCTTTTCAGGGGAACCAAGATTTTCCAAAAGAGTTAAATTTCTGTACATGTCCCAAATTAAATTCATATTAAAAGGTTCTTTTCAGGGCAATCATATCATAAAAAGTGCAAACAGAGAGAATCCCGCTCAAACTCCTATTCCTACACAAATCATAAGCTCCTGCTGCAGTTAAACATTTACAATAAATTTCATAATAAAATTGTTTGAACAAAAGCTCAAAAACATTTCCAAACGTTGATGATCATAGATTTTCATGTCACTGAAGTTATCCAGTACCATACCATCCAGCATGTACTAATTTGTAGTACAGGAAGCCATCCAGTACCATACCATCCAGAATGCATCATAAATCAACTATTGCATACTTCACGGCGTAAATGGAGCAATTGTGCTAAATTAACTTTTAAATCAAAATTTACAACCATTAATGATATTACATATAATTTAACAATGTATGGTGGGAAAACCAGTGATAAACCATTCCAGTTCTTCACCTAGAATATTCTAGAATATCTAAACAAGACATTTAAACATTAAGAAATCTTGGCTAATTGTTTTTAAATTGTTTGATTGATTTTTTTACTTCAAAGAGGAGTTCTTCAAAGAAATTTGAAAAATTTTCTATAAACACTTGCTGGATGGGAATACTGAGTCAAATATAAGTAAAGTGATTTATTCAGAATATTCAGTAATATCGTAAGAAGACATTTGCATACTTAAACATCATGGCTAATTGTTTTGAAATTGTCTGATTGATTTATTTTTACTTCAAAGAGGAGTTCTTCAAAGAAATTAAAAAAAAAATTCTACTAATACTTGCTGGATGGGAATACTGAGTCAAATATAAGTAAAGTTATTTATTCAGAGTATTCAGCAATATCTTAAGAAGACATTTGCATACTTAAACATCATGGCTAATTGTTTTGAAATTGTCTGATTGATTTATTTTTACTTCAAAGAGAAGTTCTTCACAGAAATTTGAAAATTTTTCTGCAAATACTTGCTGGATGGGAATACTGAGTAAAAAAAAACAATCAGACAATTTCAAAACAATTAGCCATGATGTTTAAGTATGCAAATGTCTTCTTAAGATATTGCTGAATACTCTGAATAAATCACTTTACTTATATTTGACTCAGTATTCCCATCCAGCAAGTATTTGTGGAATTTATTTTTTAATTTCCTTGAAGAACTCCTCTTTGAAGTAAAAAAATCAATTAAACAATTTAAAAACAATTAGCCAAGATGTCTTAATGTTTAAATGTCTTGTTTAGATATTCTAGAATATTCTAGGTGAAGAACTGGAATGGTTTATCACTGGTTTTCCCACCATACATTGTTAAATTATATGTAATATCATTAATGGTTGTAAATTTTGATTTAAAAGTTAATTTAGCACAATTGCTCCATTTACGCCGTGAAGTATGCAATAGTTGATTTATGATGCATTCTGGATGGTATGGTACTGGATGGCTTCCTGTGTACTACAAATTAGTACATGATGGATGGTATGGTACTGGATAACTTCAGTGACATTAGATTTTGTTAATTTGAAAGTGTCAAACTTGAAATTAGTAAAAAAGGTAGCATTTTTGCTTAACATACTAAAAAAATATTGCATAGTTTAATTTTATGTTAATATAATTTTAAACACTTTGAATTTTACCCAAAATTATTGTAAATGTTTTACAGTGTTTATTATTTTTAAAGCAATTTTTTCCATTTTTTTTTTCATTTTGATTGGAAGTGCGGTTTTTGAGTAAGGATTTGCTGAAAATCTCGAATACACAATTTTGATTTTTTTTTCGGGATTGGAAATGACTGGATTTTATCGATAATGTAAAAAATTGATCATAACAATCAATTATGCAAAGATTCAAGCAAATTGGAGATTGTTGCATTTGATTGATTCGTCATTTGGTGTGGAACTTCGCTGCTAGTAAAGATGCTGTGATGCCAACTCCCTGACTGGTAATAAAATAAAAATATAAAAATCAACAGTGAATAAACAAAAATCAAGTAATTAGATACGACATACGCTCAAGAAGCCTAGGAAAGGTGCACAAAAGTATGACTGGGCATGAAATAAAAATTAATGTAACATGCTCAGTTCATGGAACTTACCACTCTTGTTCAATGAATAGATCGCTAGAACTTTCTCAAATGATTCATCGGATAAAATAAATTGCTACACAAGCCGCAATAGCCTTCGCCATGCTTTGGGTAAAATGAAGCACAATAAATTATTTCTTTGGAACTGAATCCAAGCCGCTTTGGTGTTGGTGGTGTTACATACATAGGAGTTATCACATTTAGCACACGTTTTCAACGATGGTTCACGTTCACAAAAGCACATAGTATTCACACGAAACGTCACAGAGCAGTTCAGTTGTAACCTCGGTAGCCGCTCACCAGACTCGCGCTCGATATTCCGGCCGGATTAGTACCGGAGTAGTAGCCGTAGCCCAGATTACGTGTACCGAAATAATTACCACTGTTGTAGCCAAGATACGACTGTAGTCCTCCATTACCTCCGTAACCGCCGTAGCCGCCGTACCCACCGTAGCTTCCGTATCCACCGTAAACGGTGCCTCCGCCGACACCACCGCCTACATAAGGATTACCACCTCCGAGGGTGTTCGTTCCAGGATAGTAGCCCGGATTGCTGCTCTGCTAAAATGAAACAAACGCATAATCGAAATTGTTATCACAGCGCTAGTTCACCACACCGTTATTTACTTACTGGATAGAAGCCTCCTTGTGGGTAGTACCCTCCCTGTGGATAATACCCTCCGGTTTGTGGATAGTAGCCTCCGGTTTGTGGATAATAACCTCCACTCGGGTAATAGCCCCTGTTGCCATAGTACGGTTTTCCGAGCAACCCAAAGTCGAAAACTAGAACAGAGTTAATTAATCAGAGCTTCAAACAACATGGCATCGTTAAAAAATAACCATTCAACTTACGTCTCTCGTTGGGCGAACCGGAATAATAGCTGCTTCTCAGGGACCGTCCCGCTTCAGCGGAACGTCCGCCATCACTTGTCTGTGATCCACCCGGTTCAGGACCACGCTCATCGACAGCCACTGCCGCCTGAGCCTGGCCTGCTGGTTGGAACAATCGAGCCTGGTTTCCAGCGCTACCAGTGCCACCCGTCGTACGCTGACTGCTGATCACATCCAGGGACACCAGCACCGTGAATAGGAAAAACTGACACTGCGGGGAGAGAGAGAGCGAGAAGGCAATGAAATATAATTAAAATATGCTCAACATTATGGTGCTGTTATCGTTTGACTGTCGTGGAACCTGTGGTGCGCGTGGGATAATGCAATTCTCTTTGTTCGGTTAATGGTCTGGCGTTCAACACATTGAGTGGGGCAAAGATGTTATTTTTTGTAATGAATATCTACAGTGTGACGAGTATTTTTCCGTCCTGCTTCGTGAAGAAATTATGGGCAGTGACATTAGGAAAAATTCCATATTCCAGATATCATTCGCATGTTTGAATGATGGAAGCCAATAATCGAGACGGCTTAACAACTGCTAAACAGGGGGAATGGCTCTAATGCCTATGGATCTAAGATTGTTTCTAAGAATCTATTTATCAATTTTATCTAGATGAATGCGTCATTGGAACGGTACTAACGGATATTTTTGGTCGCTTTTGAAAATTTAGTCTGTTGCTGTATTTATGTATGGGTACAAATTATGGCCTAAGGCCGACAAAAAAATCATAACACAAAAACTATTGATTTGATAAAGATGACATCTGAAAAGAAATTGTGGGTAGGGGAATTTACGTATTCTCGTCAATCTAAGCAGCGTCTGCACTTCTACTAGCATTTTCTCAGCGTCACGCACATATATGATGCGTCTGTTTGTTTACATTCATCTGCTGCTTGCTTCTCTATCCATTCCAATCGACAGAATTTTTCAAAACGTTTTGAAAGCGTTTTTACAACGCTCCAAACTTCTCAGGTGAGTGTGACTATTGTCGGCAGCCTCTTTTTCTTCGGCAACCTTCCCATTAGAACTGCGTGTTAACCAGCTGTTCTATTATCGGCAACTCGAAATCAACCCCATTTTGTAGTGCGTATGCTTTATTTGAAGAAAAATGTAGCATTACTGGATTGCTCGATCGTTCACATATAATCAGATTGAAGCTGAAAGGCTAAACAATCGTTTGGACACATTCAGGGAAGTGCGTTGATGGGAAAACATAGTGAAATTAACGTTTAAATTTAGGTTGCCGAAAACAGTCAATGGGTGCCGAAGCCAACATTTACCCTAGGTAAATTATCTTTAAGGAAAAAATACACATAAATTAAAAACTTCGTAAATTAATATAAAAAGAATGTAAAACGTTGATTATCTCAAAACACCCCCATCTATCATAATACAATTTTCACTTCTTTTCAAATGTTATTTTGATCAGATCAATAGTTTTCATGCAATGATTTTTTGAAAAAAAATATATGCAATTTTTTTAAACGCACTTTTTAAAAGTTACTGTGTAGAGAAAAAAAAAAACATATTAAAATGAAAAATGCAACCACTGATAGCAGCAATCATGTGAGCAATGTTTCATTCAAATTGGACGGGATCGAGAGAAAATTTAAATAATTTTAAGCGTTTTGCGCTGGAAATGTTCTACATTATTTGGAAATTAATATTAAGAAATGAGACAAACGTCGAGCATCCTGTGCAAGTCTACTACAAATTATTGTTTGAAGTAATACTTAAAAAAGTACCCATAAGGAAAAACAAAAAGTTCATGTAATAGTTAATATCCTGACTGGTACAGGGTGCGTGACGAATTTTTGCAGTAAACTACATATTTGAGAAAAATTACACCAGTTAGTTATTCTAGCAATGAATGTTTTGTGATTTATTTTCTTTCACAACATATGGAAGTTGTTACTAATTTTATTCAAAAAAAATCGCCTTCCCTTTCGACGACTGTAGTTAGACGCTTCCGGAAACTGCCGCATGCACGTTTTACAATGTTTCGATCCATAGATGTCATCACTGCCTTGATTTTAGCTTTTAGCGACTTAAGTGTGGTGTGAGGGGTTCTATTGGTATCCCGTTCGACGAAGCCCCATACAAAATAATCCAACGGATTGATATCGGGACTGCTTGGGGGCCAAATTTCTTTCTCCCAAAATTCCGAAATATTTTCCGCAAGCCATTTCTGTATTTTATTAGCAGTATGAGTAGATGCTCCGTCTTGTTGGAAGATGAAATGACGGCCAGTAGCAACTTTCTTCATCCACGGTACAACAACATCCTTAAGAACCTTCAAGTATACATCGGCTGTTACCTTTAGTCCTTGATCAAAGAAATAAGGGGGCATTACATCCCCCACGCTGGAGACTACGCCTAGAACCATCACATGAGTCGGAAACTTGGTTGACATTTCGATAGGAACCTGACTGCGGTCTGGTGCAAGCCACCTGTCATTCCTTCGATTCACCTTTTGATCCTGGTTAAAGTTTTTTTCATCAGAGAAAAAGATTGATATGACGTGGGTGCTTCAACCGACTCAGGAGTTTTTTAGCTTTTTCCAATCGCCGGGATTTGGTCTCAGCATTCATGAATTGGCGCATATGATTTATAACCGAGGTTCTTAGCCATTACTCGCCGGATTGAGAAGTCCGAACACCCGATTTCCCGTGCCATAGACCTCATTGACCTTGCTGGATTCTTTTTAATCATTTTTTTTCTACTCTATTAGGGGGTGACCCCGACGTAGTGGTAAACATCCAGACCTCTTACGCCTAAGTCACGAGTTCAAATCTCACCCCCGGACAAGTCACGAATGACTATAATAAAAAAAAATAAATAACATTTTTTCTACTTTTTTGACCCGGTTCCGTTCATCCGCATTGGAGCGGCACTTATATTTCTTCCGGGTAGGTGTGTGTGACACTTTATCACTTCCCAAGCTTTTTTTTATGTTATACACTGTTCTTTCAGACACATTTACCGACCGAGCTATTTCTTTTACGCTTACTCCGGCGCGCAACAAAGCGACAACGGCTGACCGATTGCTCTCTTGTTTCGACATCTTTACGTTTACTCAACACTGTTTGTTTACATCTGACACCTAACAGTATAAGCTATCCAGTGCTGCCAAATATTTCTAAATCATGCTCCACAAGCATGAGAAATTACTATTTGAAATTTACTGCAAAAATTCGTCACGCACCCTGTATAATAAGGAAATAAGAATCCTATAAACTCGTAAACAGAAGGCACATAAAATTTACAAATCGATCAATATCAATGTGGCGCAGAGACGAACCAGCGTTCGGCTGAAAGTCTCCTTTATAAAGATAACTAACTAACTAACTAACTAACACCACTGTAGATTTACTAAAATACTTTGATACCTGCGATGAACTGAATATGTCTATCAGAATAGCTTTTGAAGAGTTTTATTCGACAACAGAGCTGGAAATAAAATCCAATAAAAAATAAATTCCAACATTGTAAGGACAAAACTTAAATCTGATGGTTTTCCGTTGTTGTTACATTTATATGAAACTGAAAGTAGTAAAACTGAAGCAATTAGCAAACTGTTTTCAACTTTTTTTAAAGAAATTTACACAACTTTTCAGATAATGATCGTGATAGGGAATATTTTTCCTTCTTCATAGATTTTTTATGCGACGTCAGACGACGAATTTCACGCTAACTCGACAAATGTTTGGCAGTACCCTCTCAGATTTCAAAGAAACTTTGTGAGTGTATAGATTTCATCTACTTAAGCAACTTTGCACACATATTTTCTTTAAAAAAAATCTAGACGTAGACATTTGGAAAGGGCAGAACTTTTTTGTCATAATTATCTCAAAAAAAAATAGCTCAATAATGTTAAGTCCTACAAAAATGTTGCCAAAGGATGATTTGAAGAGAAAAAATAACTTTCATTAAGAAATATAAAAAAAGAAGTATTTTTTCTACACTGAAAACAAAAATGTTTAAAATGTTATTAATCTACATTCTTTGATGCATCCCAAAATGGGCACATATCTATGCGAACAAGACATTTCAAAATTTAGAAAGACTTGCTTCACGTCTTCTTTTAAACAGGATTGTGTTCAACTCCAATTGAAAAATAAAATGATCTTTTATGAAGTTTTTGAATATTAAGGAAGGGTCAACTCGTTTCGGAGATATGGACGGAACATGTTATGGTAAATACGGGTGTCGATCATGTCGTCTGGCATGACAAATAATTATCAATGAAAAACTAATTGTTCAAATTAAAAACAGAGTAACTTGCATGCAACACGGTTTTTTCAAGTGCCGAACAACCACAACAAACTTGAGTTCGTTGAATATTCTTTAAAGGTAATTTACCGATTTCAGCAAAGCATTTGATCGTTTTGACAAACCGTTGTTTTTGCATAAATTGCACGGGCTTCTCAAATGGATCGAATCATTACTAACAAATTGCTACCAAATTTTCAAATTCAACTGAACACTCCGAATACGGTGGCCACGGTGGGTAAAATACTTTACGCCGACTACGAAGCCTCCGAAAAACGTGTAACAGCAAGTTTGCAATAGGATAACTTAGCCATTTCTTAATGAATTTCAAAAATTGTGATACCTCTAGAATTCCTAGGGTCTGTAAATTATTTTGATTGTAAAAATATTAAAAATAGGGTAGTCTATTTTATTCAAAAGCGAAAAGAATCGTTACACGTTTTTTTAAAGGAGTGTTTATGGGTTTTGCAAGTGGCCTAAGATCCATAAATTAGATTAATGGGCACAAATGTTCATAATTAGCCAGAATACAGTCATGGTTCCTATATATGGAACCTGGAGATAACGGAACGGGCCTCAAAAGATTCGTAACATCCGTAAAAGTGGTATCCATAAACCCCTGATTCTAGAACTCCGTGGTTTTTTCGAAAACATTAGGAACTGTGAAATAAAAATATAATTTGGGTTCATGACATAAACATGGACCCGGATGGCCATCGGACCATCCTCCGGAAGATCCGGAACATCCCTAAAAGTGTTCAATCTATGAAACTAATCTTAGAGCCCCACGGTTTTTTTCGAAAACACGTGGAAGTGTCATATATAAATTAATTAAGGGTCATGACATAAACATGTACCTAGAAGGCCATGGACAATCCATGAAACTGATCCTCGAACTCCGTGGTTTTTTTTTCGAAGCATTAGAAACTGTAATATAA